TCTCCCCGCGCCCCCCCCCCCCCCCCACCCCCGCCCCAAGTCCTCCAGTCTTCTGATGGTTAATTTAAAAATGACTCAGCAAGAAACAAAATGTTTCTTGGTCATATGATCCCACTCCGGCGGAGAAAAGGAAACAGCAGAGGCCTTTGCTTTGTTCCATGGGATGGAAAGGGAGGAGAACCTATCAAATGCGTCAGAAACTCCCGGGTGCAGCTGTGGACGAGACCCAGGAGGTGAGATCCAGGCAGGTACGGAGGGAAAGGGATGCTTTTGCTGGGAACTTATACCTTTGCCCCCTCCGAGTATTTTCCTAAGGGTCTCAGTTGTGCAGAAGGACAAATCTTTCCCCAGATGCCACGCGAGGGCATCTATTCTAGGCAAGTCACAGAGGGTATCATCTTTGCCGTTGGCCGCAGAGGGGCTGACCCAGGCCAGACAAGTGACTTTTGAAACCTCTCTCTTCCCTCATCTCTCGCACCCTGTAGAGCAGCGGTTCTCAACCTGTGGGTCGCGACCCCTTTGGGGGGGTCGAACGACCCTTTCACAGGGGCCGCCTAAGACCATCGGAAAACACATATATAATGACATATTGTTTTTGTGATGAATCACGATGCTTTCATTATGTTCAATTTGTCACAATGAAATGGGGGGTCACCACAACATGAGGAACTGTATGAAAGGGTCGCGGCATTAGGAAGGTTGAGAACCGCTGCTGTAGAAGCTGGAGGAGTGGCAGCGGGTGACTCCTAACAGTTGTCACCACCAGAGGTCTTCCCTCTCTCTACCCAGTGAAAGATTCAGAAGACCTACTTTCCCTGCGGGACACTCAGCGCAGGAACGGAGGCTGTGGAATGTTTGCTTTGCTGTTCTTGGGAACTCCCGTTAGCAGAATGAGGCTCGGGGAGGGGAGAGTTAACAAGGGTGACAGGGAATGTCGATGGAGGAGAGAGTCCGAGGCTAGAGAGCACACAGCTTCTGCTCTCTTTCTGAGTGTCAGTTCCTGACGTTTGTGCTGACTCTGCCATTCACGCTGGTTTGGCACCCGGCTGGGTTCCCCACCACAGCTGACTGCTGCCTGATTGGTTTCTGGGAGAGCAATGCTCTCTTCCCAATTGTCCAGGGAATGGAGACATGGATTTCCGTGTTCCTTCAAAGACGCCTCCAAGATGACAAATCTTGGGATTTGCTGCTATAGATATAATTCTCTCTCTCTCTCTTTTTTTCTTAAATATACATATTTTTTATTGATTTCAGAGAGGACGGAAAAGGGAGAGAGAGATAGAAACATCATTGATGAGAGAGAGAACCATTGATCGGCTGACTCTTGCACACCCCCTACTGGGGATCAAGCCTGCAACCTGGGCATGTGCCCTTGACCGAAATTGAACTTGGGACCCTTCAGTCCGCAGGCTGACGCTCTATCCACTGAGCCAAACCGGCCGGGGCCATATAACTCTCTTTTTCCCATTTGCTGCAACTTCAGTCCTCAGGGCTCTTCCTGACTCTATCTCCCTCACGGAAGCCCCACCCCCTTTTTCAATGGTCAGGGATAACTCTATGGTGACCTTTCATGTTTGCAATAAGGTTCAACCCACAGGTTGAGAACCCAATGATTTACTAAATGATTGGGTTGGAAAGAGGTTGTAGGAAAAGGGCTGGAGGAAGAGCTACCACTGGAGGTAGGGGTGGCTTTGTTGGTTAATTTGGATTCCACATGGTGATCTCAGTTAGAATTTGATTGGGATTTATGACTTGGGATCAAATTCTAAACTGGAAATGAAATTTGAACACAACATGGAGGTCTTAGTAAAATGACTTTGGCTCTGGGAAAACCGCAACAACAAAACACTTTAGATCAGAAAGGAAACCTGCAGGTGACATGAGATGAAGGGGCTCCATGGAGCATTAACTCACCAGCTCAGCAACCGCATCAAAGACACTGCCCATCACCATCACTTTCTCTCCACTTGTCCATCCCCAGAGCTATGGCTCTATACCCCAGGGACTTCCCTCGCCAGTTCCGGGAGGCTGCCTCCTTTCCAGAATTTACACCCAGAAGGGACCCTGTCTAACAGAGTTGAGGAGAACTCTTCTCCTGCCTCACTTTGGGAAGAGGAGAGCAGTTCCCTGAAGTAACCCAGGGGTCTTCCCCTCCCTCCTCATTGGCCAACATTGTATCACATGTTTATTTATAAACCAATCCCTGGACAGCAGACATGGGCCCCTGTGTTTGGTGCAGTAAAGCTCATTTGTGGTCACATGAGCACAGCAGGTTGTCCAAACAAAATCAAGGTTCTGACAAGTGGCAGAAGGAGTGCATGCTGGGTAGGCAACACCAATGTCTATGATGGGTCAACTTGTGGGAGAGAGAAAATGGAATTAAAAGATTGAATTGAGATAACAAGTGGGCTCACACTAAGGAATGAAGCATATTTGGGGGTCTGAGTTAGAAGTGAGGGTCAATTCTACTGTTAGGAATCAGCTGTCTAGTAGTAATCTGACAATGGTTCCTGTGTTACTCCATGGAAATGCCAAAGTCCTACCTCGGGCTTCAATCCCTGTGTCGTCCAAATCCTGTGAGGCTAGTATGCTAAGTGTCCGACCATCCGACCAGTCGCTATGACACGCACTGACCACCAGGGGGCAGACGCTCAACACAGGAGCCGCCTTGACACGCACTGGCCATTCCCAAAGAAACGGCATCGTGGACCGGGCGCCCGCAAAGCAACACTCGGCTTCCCTCAAGTGGGACACAGGCCCCGCCACCACCCCAGAGAGACAGCCCAGAGAGATGATGCTGAGACCCCACAGCACAAAATGCGGCCGACAGCCCAGCCCACCCTTCTCCCTCTGATTCGTTCAGCTCTAGTAAAAAAAGTCTGCCCTGCTAGAACATTCTAGGTCTCCCTCCTCTTCTCCCCTACCCGTCACTCTGCCCAGGACTCACTGCTCCCAAGTAGCTACATGAATCCATCTACACCTCCTACAAGATTTTATCCAAATGTCCTCTTCACATGGGGTCTTTCCAACCACCTTTCCAATATTATAACTGCAGGGGTTGCTGAGATCCAAGGGAACCAATAATCCCCTAGGCCTCCTCTGGTCTAATTTTTCTCCATAGCACTCACTGCCATGTAAAAAACAACCTATAAATGTGAAGTTCTTGTTTCTTTACTCAAGATCTCCACCTACTGGAATGAGAGCCTCTTTGGAGGAATTTCCGTGTTTTGTGGAATCTGTGCCCTCAGAGGCCAGAACAGATTCTGGCTCAGAGTCAATGCTCAGCAGATACTCCGGGAATGAACATAATGAGGAAAGATGAAAATGCAAAGAAATGCATTCCATCATCATGATAATGAAAGCGGTTCAAATGTACTTCAATGTGAAACAGATGGCATAAGTCAGAATAAAACTACAGTGTAGAGCAGGGGTGGGCAAACTTTTTGACTCGAGGGCCACAATGGGTTCTTAAACTGGACCGGAGGGCCGGAACAAAAGCATGGATGGAGTGTTTGTGTGAACTAATATAAATTCAAAGTAAACATCATTACATAAAAGGGTACGGTCTTTTTTTTTTTTTTTTAGTTTTATTCATTTCAAACGGGCCGGATCCGGCCTGCGGGCCGTAGTTTGCCCACGGCTGGTGTAGAACATTACACAACAAGTATAAAGGATGGAGAAATGATCTAAAGGTACTAAGAAGAATTGTTCAAGATATTCTATAGACATACAGAATAAAAGGTTCCATTAGATAATGTTCAGTACAGACCTTTTTGTTACATACATACAGTATGTATAGAAATAAAAGTATAATATTGAAACAGGAATTTGGGGGCAAAATAGGACAGATTTAGAAAATATTAGATATTTTAGAAAGTAGGGAGCCCATGGAGGAAGCACAGGGCTGCAGAGCAGCAGAAGGTATATTTCCATAGAATAGGGGAAGCTGAAAAGCTGCAACAGGTACATTTCCATAGAATGAGGAAGCTGGGAACAGCAAAAGGTCTATACTTAAAAAATAAAAAGAAGGAAGTCCTTCATCCAGAAGAAGAAGAAAGCACAAAGGGAATAGGAAAACAATAAGGAAGAAGGGGGAGAACCTCACATTGCCCCATGCGAGACTCCACCTTTGAGCCCAGGAGTTACTATAGTAACCAGTCTAAGGCAATAGTGACCAATCAGAGGGGATATCAAGGCACCATGATCTGCAGCCTTTATAAGCCATAGGGAAAAGGAACTCAGTGGGACCCTTTCCCCCTCCCCACATGGGAGACTATACTTGTTCTTCAATGAATCTCCACCTTTGCTATACCACTTTCTATCCGTGGATTCTTCTTCGATTCTGGCAGACAAAGAGTCCGGGTCCCAGTCCACAAATTCCCTATCAATATGAGACACAGACTACGTGAAAAACAGTACATATTTGGTAGGTGGAGTTAGGAAAGCCTTACTTTAGATTCGTACCCCAATACTAGGGTTGGGTTCAGGCTCAAAGATAGGACTGGGATTCAGTCTGACAAGTTCCCACAAGCTGCTCAGAGTCATGGTATCAGTTCTAGGCCACCCCTGAGAGGGGCTGAGGGCAAGAGAAGTGGCCACAGTGGAGGACCCAGGGCACAGTCCACCCTTGACTCCTGCTCCTGCCCCTCAAGGCTAGTTCCTGGTCACACCCTTCGTAGATGCCACCAGGGAGCTGGGACGTGCTGGAGCCAAGCCCCTGACCTGGCCTCAGGAATGAGGGTGGAGGTAGAGTGCGGGCATATGGGTTTAGCTGCCTCCGGGTTCCAGATAAGAGCAAACGCAGGTAAGGTAACCCCAGAGCTGGGTTCGCTGAACTCCAGGACCCTGAGAGTTGGAATGGGGCGGGTGTGCTATAAGAGGGCCACTCTGCACAGTGCTGGACACCATTGAATCCCAACCCAGACTGAAGACCAGACCAGACCAGACCAGACCCCCTGTGGGTGAGAGGAAATTCCATGTGGGGTGGGGCAGGTGCATCTGGAGGGACAGCTGACTCTTCCTCTTGAGGGCTGAGCAGCGGAGGCCTGAATTTCTGGTTGTGAGATGGAGGGACTAGAGGTCTGGAATTTTGGGTCTTTTACCTAAAAGGAACTTGGGACATAGAATTAAAATGGGGAGGGACAGACAGCCAGATCACTAGGTGCCTCTTCATGGAAGGCTGTCTCTGGCCTGGACTTGTGGGTCTAGAGGGAGCAGGTGGGTGGAGACTGGGGCTCCTGGGTCTAAGGGAGGAGGTGGGTACAGATTGGGGATCCTGAATCTGAGGGGGGAGGTGTGGGCTCCTGGGTCTGAGCAAAGAGAAGGGACCTGGAGACCAGGAGCCCTGGTTCCTGAACTCTCTGTCTTTCCAGCCCCAGCACAGAAGGCCCTTCCTCTGTGGCAGCCACAGAGGCTCAGAGAGGACACATGGCAGTTCCCCGGCTCCCACCCCTGCTGCTCCTACTGCTGTCCTTTGCCCTGGGATCTGCTGGACAAGAAGGTGAGGACCAGCCTGGGAGTCCTGACCTTACCCCTGGGCATCACAGTCCCCCACCTCCCCTCTCCAGGGCTCCTCTCTCCAAGGAGCCCCTGAGTCAGGACCCTCCCCTGCAGCAGCCTCCTCCCATGGAGACATGGCCCCTGGGCTGTGGCCCCTTTCTTCCTGCTCCCTCCTGACTCCTGGGCTCTGGGCGCCCTCCAGGCTGCTTCCCGCCCTCAGTGTTTCTCTCATCAGACGCTGGGTTTGCCTCCAGATCAGCTGCTGCCCTGGGCTTCTGAGCAGCCTCCCTCCGTCTCTCTCCATCTCCGTCTGCAGCTGTCTCTGCCCTGGGCTCCGTGTCTGCCTCTGCCCTTCTCCACGCCTCTCTGTCTGTCTCTCTCTCCATCACTGTCTCTGGGCATCCATCTACTGTGGCCTCAGCCTTCACCTGAGCCCTGCTACCCACGCTTTTTCCAGGTCTCCATCCAGCCCAGGATACTGGGGAGAGGATCATTAATGGAATTCAATGTCCAAGTGGCTCCCAACCCTGGCAGGTGGCCCTGTACCAAAACAATGTGTTCCTGTGTGCAGGCGTGTTGGTCCACAAGAAGTGGGTGCTCACTGTCGCCGACTGCTACTCGAGGTACCGGACAGGCAAGCCAAAGGGAGGTCTCTCTCTCTCTCTCTTTCTCTCTCTCTCTCGGCTTCTGTCCCCCTAACTCTGGGTCTATGTCCCTCTTTCTCAATCACAGTGTCTCCAGCTCAATGTTGCTTTTTTTCCCCCAAGATTGTACACTGTGCAAATGGGCACTAATCTTCTAGTCGATAGAAAAGCCCAGAAGATCAGGGCCACAGAGTTCTTCACCCACCCCCAGTATGACGTAACCACAAATGTTCATAACATCATGCTGGTGAAGCTGAGCAGCCCGGCCAATCTCTCATCCACTGTGAGGATAATCAAGGTGCCCTCCAGCTGCAAACAGCCTGGCACCACTTGTACCGTCTCTGGCTGGGGCAGCACCACCATGGATGGAGGTAAGGCCGCCCCCTGTGGCCCAGGAATAACCCAGCCCATGGCTCCCTTTTCTCTAAGACACGGGATACAGGTAACAAACCTAAGATCTCAGACCCACAAACCCCTCCTCCCTCAGCCAGACCCAGGAGCCCTGACCTTTAGACACCCCTCCCCCAGTCCCATAAGCCTCAGATCCCAGGCCTCCGTCCCCAAGACCAAGGTGAGAGCCCCCGCCACGTCCTCAGCCCCCTCCACCATCAGACCCACCACTATTTTTAAATATATATATTTTATTGATTTTTTACAGAGAGGAAGGGAGAGGAATAGAGAGTTAGAAACATCAATGAGAGAGAAATATCGATCAGCTGCCTCCTGCACACCTCCCACTGGGGATGTGCCCGCAACCAAGATACACGCCCTTGACCGGAGTCGAACCTGGGACCCTTCAGTCTGCAGGCCGACGCTCTATCCACTGAGCCAAACCGGTTAGGGCCAGACCCACCACCATTGGCCTGCAGATGCCTCCTCCCTTAAACAGAGGAGTCCTGGCCTCAGCACCCCCCACCCTCAAACCCAGGAGTTCAGACACCAGCCCCTTCCTCCCTGAGAACCAGCAGTCCCATAGGACCTTTTCAGGACCATAGTATGGAGCCACCCAGCCCATCCTCCTTCAATAGCCAGGGCCCCCATTCTTTGACATCAGCACCCACAGGTCCACCGGCCCCAGCCCCTGACTTCCCGATAACTTCCCCAGCAGTGAGAAACCCATCAGCGCTCATGTGCTCGAATGTCAGAATGATCCCCTACAACGACTGCAAGAAGGTTTACCCGACCCTGTTGAGGAAATACACCATCTGTGCTGCTCCCCCCAACAGATCCTCCTTCGCCTGCAAAGTGAGTCCCCTCCTCCCCTGTGACCCCCTCCATCCAGTGTCCCGGGGCCTGACCCTGGTGCTGAGCCTTCCCTCACACCTTACCAGCCCCACTTTCCTGGCTCTCTACTCAGTTCTCTGCCCGGGTCTGGGTGGGAGCCCACGGGGGCCGGCGTGGCCTTGGGGGCGGGCACAAAGCTGAAGGATAGAAACTGGGGGTGGGAAATGGGGCTGGGACTATGGGGAGGGCAGTGAGGCACTGGCTACAAGCACAAGCTTTAAGGCAGCGGTTCTCAACCTGTGGGTCGCGACCCCTTTGGCGGTCGAACGACCCTTTCACAGGGGTCGCCTAAGACCATCCTGCCTATCAGATATTTACATGACGATTCATAACAGTAGCAACATGACAGTTATGAAGTAGCAACGAAAATAACTTTATGGTTGGGTCACAACGTGAGGGACTGTATTTAAAGGGCCAGAAGGTTGAGAACCACTGCTTTAAGGGCACACCAGAAGCTCCGTGACCAGGATATATCATATTCCAATAAATTTTAAAAAAATAATCCATGATGAGCAAAGCATCAGAATTTTCAACAAAAAAAGCAACCAGAATGGGCTGGATTTTCCATTTGCTTCGGGCTCCTATATGGTTCAGAACAGCACTGTAATGACCCCGTCTTTATCTAAAACTGGAATAACAGGTTCCTCGTGGATTTTTTTTTTTCCGTCTTAAATTTGATTTTTAAAACGTGCTTTAAAAGGCAATCACCGCATGTGCCTGAGGCTCATGTCCTGCTTCTATGTCTGTGTATCTGGTTCTAATTCTGTAGAAAAAAGGAGCCCCTCCTCTTTGTTCCCCCTTCCTCATCTCTGTAACCTCCTCTCTGACTCTCAGACCAGCTCCCCTCACCTCTCTTCACACCTGCAC